GCACTTCGATATCCTTCTTTACTTTGGCATCAGCCATGGTTATAGTGAACCTAGGCTAAGTGTGTAGGTACAAAATATATCAATGAAATATATAATTATTCCAATAAAATCAATAATATTTCCACAATGACAGTTTCGGCTATATATCGTTTAGCCAAAGAGCAAATTGATTGTAATAGGCTAAGTTATTGAGTTTAGGCCTATTAGGTGAACAGGCCTAGACCTTATTTTTGTTTGATCACTTGTTGGAATAGATAGGCCTAATAAGTCACAAATAGCAATAAATCAATGGTGTTAACTTATTGTTAAGTGAAAAGCTTCATTTGTAATTATTTTATTCACAAGAGGAATGAAAAAAGCATAAAAACCTGGTGCAGGGATAAAAAGATAGTTTTTATCCCAGAATGAGGGATTTATCCCGGAACGAGGGATTTATCCCGCCGTAGGGAAATGTTGATGATTCCTATCCCATAAATGAGGGATTTATCCCTCCAGCCTGTAGCAGGGAAATGTTTGCTTGAAAAATCGGTTTGATTTGATAAATACAAATTAACACTTCTTTAAATCTTGATAAAAGTCCATAAAATGCTTTAAAAAGTTGATTGAACTTGATCTTGATGTTAAATAAATGTTCAGAAGCTTTATTTGCAATAATAACCTAGAACACTAGCCAGACTTAACATGAAAGGATAGGAACATGTTGAAAGAATAGGAGCAAGTTGAAAATTGATTATTATTAGAAAAATATGATAGGATTTTTGAAAATTAATTGATCAGGTTCGAAGGACCAATGAAAGCAGTGGATGTAGACTAGGAAATAGAAATTGTAAGGTGGAAAAATAGGAAAATGAGTAAAATTAAGATACCTCACATGTTTGGGTTGACTTCTCTGTAGATGGCCATCTTGCTGCTGATTTTTCCTTCACTACTTCTTCTTCTTGTAGTAGGGATAGGCGGGAAATTTAAATGTTTAAATGAAACCTGAATGAAGGTGGTTATGGTTGGTGATGTTGCAACAGGAATGAAAAAAGGATAAATTAAAATGTCTCTGGGATTTCAGAAATTAAATTAAATTAAATTAAGTCTGGCTCTAACACTAACAATCTATCTAGGACAAAATATTTATCTTTGACATTTTCGGAAGGTTTGGCAGTAAAAAAGCACCGGGTTAAATGCCGCCGCTAATACACTGGGGGTTCGTAATGTCCACAACACACAACATGCTGTGGGAAAGGTACAGGGACAACAAAACTGATACAATAAAACTGAATTCGGAATGAATGTGGTTCAATTGAATTTCGCAAAGTTTTTTGACAATTCACAACTTTTTGGAAACAAATAAGTGGTTTTTGTACGTCTAGATTAATTTCTAAATCTCCGCCACCTTTTTCATATTTGTTGTTAATCATGCATTTTTCATAACATTGACCTGTGAGTAATGAATAGTCTATTATTTTATCACTTAGCACATACAATGTTGTATTGTATTAATTTGAGTGAAGTGGTGAAATCGCTAATACTCCTCAATAATTGTTAGCTGACGTACTATTTCAGATATCATTTTATTTGCCGGTTCATGGTGATTTTTAAAAATTTAAATTAAATAAAATACCGTAAACACATCTTATTAGATAGTTATTTTCACACCAAGATAGTTATTGTTTTGTTTGTTAAAAGCTTACTATAGAGTAAACAATCATTCATATTTTTTAATAACAATTAAATGCAGGTATATGCAGGTTAATGCAGGTGTGGTCACATATCTTATTTTTATTCACTTGCCATATAGATTTCTTTACTTGGAGTAAATCTCAAACCTCATTTTATACCTAAAATAGCCTACTAAAATGTATAATTTAAAACTATTAACAACCCCTTACACCTACAGGAATACTTGCTTAGTACCTTCGGGAAGATATTAATTTAACACTTGGCACATCAGTAAAAATATAAGTTTAGCATAAAATTAGGAGATGTATAAGTCGAGTACCTATCACATTCGAGAAAACTATGCATGAGCTTAGCAACTATGACATTCAAGGAAATCAAATTCTATCACCCTCCAAATTTAGCTCCAAATACCTTCGGGGAAGCTATAATATACAAGTTAATTCATAAAATTGAGCTGGACCATATGATAAACACCTTCTGGTGAACCTTTAACTTTTTAGTACTCTGCAGAGTTAACCTACAGGTCCTACCTAACGTAATTAAGCTTAGCACATTCAAGGGAGCTTTCCTTCAACACCTCTGACACTACAGAAACTAAGGTTTAGAACCATCTTTGGTAAAACTATAACACCTACGTTCATAGAAAGCTTACTCTACGATCATCCCAATCCTACCAACAATACTATACATATACCTTAAAAAACCTCCCTACATTGCAGCACATGATTTATGTCTAAATTGGCACTTCACTGTTTAAGACAGACAATCCTAAACGAACTAATCCTACATTATAGTACATAAATCATGGGAAATACAGTACCTGTGGTCAGACTAATCTCCATAGCTCTCTGTCGATGGCCCAAGACTTTAAACTGGGGTAGTGACACCTCATTGGATACCCCCACAGAGTTGGGGCCTTCGTTCCACTTATAGCGAATGTCCCGCATAGTGTACCCGACTGTGGTACACACACATACATTGCACAAACTGCACATAGCAAAGGTGGAGGCTGCATGGTGACAGGGTGAGCCCGCCTGGCACCTTCTCGTGTGAATTGTGGGGGAGGGGGGTGAGCTTTAAAGTTTTTTGCACACTTTTTCTAAGGAAAATAGAATAATTTTGAACTTAAAGTACATAAGTGTGAATTTCAATGATAGTGTTTTTCACGAGAGCTACCCTGAACTAGAGTACAATATCTTCTGCTAAATGTAAAGGGGTAGACTTCCGTTTCTGTTGGCACAAATAGCCGAATGAAAATATCGATCGATACATCGATTATTCAATATATCGTTTGGTTAATTCGGTAAAGTTAACCTAACCTAACTCACCATACGATATATCGAATGAAACAATAGAATAATTGATATTTTCATTCGGTTGTTTGTGCCTACAGATACGGTAGTCTACCCATGTAAAGCTTCCACGGTCACATTTAACGCGATACTGTTGCCTTCTGGGTAAAATCCTATTACAAGTCATATTACAGGTAACTTTGGCTTACGTTCCAGCCTCGATGAAGATCACCATCTTTCCAGTAGTATTGTAATAACCTAGTGTCCCATCACTACTCAAAAAATGGCAATCTGCTATGAAGCCGAACCTCAGCCTACTACAAGTTATACGATTTTACCTCGAAGATCGCGATATTGAACTACATGCGTTTGTGAGAAAGAGAAAAACGTGAATCACACTACGTTAACCCTTATCTCGAGCTGTAAAAAAAGGATAGCCGACTTGATCGTAAAAATACTACTTTTCAGTCACAGTTTTTTTAATAAAATATTATTAAGTCCACTCCAGTTCTTCAGTTCTGACTCACTCCCGGACTTCTAGATAGGATATATGTTATATGTAGTTAGACATTTTGGATTATCGAGCCTTTTGAAACGCTGCTTCAACGTAAAAATTGTGCATGACTTTAAGATACCGTCCGAATTATATTTGACGAGTTGTATTTATTATTGCGAGAACCAATGGATTTTTTCACGTATAAACCTCAGTAATATTTTCTTGTATAATTTATTATTCCAAACAATATTATTGTACTGATGTACAAACTAAGACTCTACAATAGGGGGGGGGGGTATCTAGAGGGGGGTATTTAGAGGGGGGCACGAGGAGGCGCCTCGGCGGGGGGTGTGAGCGAGGTGTGATGAACATCATGCATTTCCTGATACTGAGTCGGGAAATGACGTCATACGATGCAGGCAACTTCCATAACTTACAACTAAATTTGTATTCATGTCGAGTTTGATAACTGACAGGTCATTTTGTAGGCATGAATTGGGCGAATTAAAATCCCCCGTGACAGTTGGGATAACAGGATGTCTTTTAGGATGACTAAACTTGTATAGTTTGAAACCTTGGATATCAAAGCCCTTGGGGTTTACGTTTGGTTTGAAAACAGCCAAAATTGGTTTTATTTATTTGTTAATTTATATCACGATGATTATCCAAAAAAATTAGAGTAATTTACTTGCATGGCATCTTTAGCTATAAACGCAAGACCATAAAGTAGATATTTTATTCTAATGTTAAAATAATTGTCCTATAAATAAGAAATGATTCAGATTGATTAGCTTCTGACAAAGTGTATTGCAGCCAAATGTGTAATACCATTGACTATTGGAAATTTTCTATCATAAGAAACTGGAATATCAGCTTATTGTAAGCCAAAAAGTCCCCACCATGCAGAATGGAAAAACTTAAAGAGAAAAAAGGATTGTAATGGTAATGTAATCTGAGCAGCTAAAAAAAAAAAAAAAAAAATTATAGGTCTATACACATGAAAGATTTAATTCCTTCAATGAGTACGTTTCCAAAGTTAAACACGCTAACTATTGGACTCAAAGTAAATAGTATCGATTTGATAATGCCTGATCAATAAAACATTTTTTAGATGCCCATACTTTAAAAAATATGTTCAAATATCAACCACATATCATTACCATACGTTAAACCTAGCCATGCAATTGCTTCAATTAATTTACAATCCAAAACTTACTCCCATTTAACATCCCATTTTGAAGTGACTTACAGATAAATTCTAGGTATGAAAGAAAATTTGTTAAGTATTAGAATCGATTTTTGAATGCCCGCCAACTTAATTATTTTAAATACATAGACTTTCAGAAATTATGTACACAAACCTTACCCCACAGAATAACCCCAAGTGATCCAAATCAATTCACCACGTTTCCACCCCTTTGTCACAGAAGTCACCTGATCGATGACGTCATCAGCGACGTGAGGGTGGCCTGTGTCAGGTATACCTATACCTGTATCCGTGTCAGGTTTACAGGCACATACCTATACCTGTGGACTAGTACCTGTGGAAAGGTTAATTTCGGTCTGCCTCTGGCGGTGCCCGAGGACTCTGAACTGGGGCAGTTGCACTTCGTTGCTAATACCCACAGATTTGAACCCGGAGTTCCACTTGTATCGAATATCACGCATAGTGTATCCAACTGCACTTGACAGACAAATCAGACAACAGTTTAACTGGCATTATGACCTGCGGGAGGGGTAGGCCACTCCGTGGGACTGGAGACATTGCGAACATAAAAGGAAAAGAGGAAAAATTGTGTTCTCAGGAATTTATATTTTTTGTGTTTTGTAATTAGTTTAAGTGTATTTTTTGGTAAAGCTTAGTCATGTGATTTTTGACAAGGTATATTTGGTTTTAAAATGTAAATTAACATCTTTTAGTTTTTTTTTAACGTAATCATTTTTTTATTTGTTCAAATTATTGAGACATGACTATACTGTGTATTTATTTATACATGGTGAAAGTTGTTTGTTTTAGATTTTGTTAGGAAATACATCTTATAAATTGTTTACCCTCTTCATTGGGATACCAATGAATTTAATTGAAACAGTATAATGGCTATGTTAAGCCATATTGAGTATTTACGTATACAATTTTGTATCTTATCAAAATAATTTTATATTGAACTATAACGTTCAAATTATTTTTTTTAAATTTCAACAAATGGGGAAAATGTCCTTACAAACTGTCAGTTAGTTTAGTCCAAATTTTACAAAGTTTTCGAAATGTCTAAGGCACACAATTTCTTAAATATAGTTTGTCACAATGTACTTAGGATATAGTCTATATATATTTCAAATTTAGAAAAAGCTTCTTTCAGGAAATGTATTTGAAAAAACGATTTCATGGTTTTCTATCCATCAATAAAACTGGACATTGTGTATTGGTTTGGCCATTCACACCCGCATTTCAGGGGTTGAAATGTCTTGGTTCGGCCAAACATCGAAGAAGTCAAGTATGAGAAAACATCAAAAGAGCAAAAAAGCAAAACAATCGAACAGGTATTGGAGTGGCCTTTATTGGGAACAACTTAATAGTAGAGACAACTCGTGCAAACTCAAGTGCAAAACCAAAAAGTGGCAACAAAAAAGCATGCTACGCAATCATGCTGCTCATGGCTTTTCAGTAAAATTACTTAATTTAATGTTTGTATTCCCTACGCTAGCTTAGATTATCTAGTTATTTGAGGCTAAATGAGTATAATATATATACTAAAAACCTACGATATTCCAAAATGCTTTGAAGGTATTTCTTGGTTATAAAAAATTAATTAGGCATATCAATTAATTAATACACTAATACATCTAAAAACCTGTTTCATTTGAAAACACGATTTCCTAAGTTAACACATCTATTTTTGTCATAATTTAAACCTAGGTGTTATTAGTAAAACAAATTGACGGAAATGTTGTTCTGTGTTAAAAATAGTTTTAGACACAGATATTCAGTCAATAGCAACCTGTTTATGGTTTGGTTTATTTATGTATCTTCTTTACAAGCTATTATTGCATTTAAAAGTGCACATAACACATTGAAAAATTTTGGAAACTAACTGGCATATGCCTGATTTTTATTTGAAAATTTTTGAAACAAGAAAGGCAATAATCGTTATTGAATGTAAATATTTAATTTGAGTTCAAAATTTTGAACCAACATTTATTACCTACCAAAGCAAGAAAAAATTGTATTGTGATTTTATTTTTACCTAAAATAGATAAAAGTCAAATTTAACACACTAATTCGAGCTAATATTTTTAAGCCATGAGGGAAAAATGCAACAAAACAAAAGGTAAAAGCCTATTGGTGGGAGCGAGGACTTGGAAACAGTCGTGTCGCGCGCCGGTTGGTCACGTTATCACCACGACCACGTGGTGTGAGCACGTCCAGTCAAGTCCTGACGTGTGCAAACCTGTCTGCCTTCCTCGGGCACGACCCTCGGTGCTGTTCCGGAAGGAGACCGAAATTAAGACGTACCACAGGATGTGAGGAATGAATGGAACACATGGAAATGAGTGAGGCGAACAGTCTCTTGAATTCTCTGGATGATTATTTCGAAAATACCAAAGATAAATAAATTGAAAATACAAAAGGCACAGAGAGATGGCTGATGTGTAAACAATATTTAAAAACTCATCCTTTGGTTGAAAAATACCAAAGAGAAATAAATGAAGATGATACAATAGACGTCAATGATTTTAAGGAACCACGCATAACACTGTCTGCATCCATATATTCTTTTTCTTTGGTTATAGAATGGATAGAAAATTCTACAGAGAATTAGAGACCGCTCGCAATTAGTGATGCATGACACACATGATAGGTGAAATTATTCTCTTAATTCTAAATGAAAATTTGAACAGTACAATCAGAATGTTAAGACATTTACATGGGTAAAATCTCTATGGAAATGCTTTGATCAAGTCCAAAACTCATTCAAACAATAGTGTTTTACTGAATGAGTCTTAAAGTAAGCATTGGTTATATTACAGTGTACAATTGGTGAAATACTTGTTGGCTGTTTGTTATTTAAATTTAATAATCAAAGTTATTCGAAAGTAATGCTTGTAAAAAAGTACCTTTACTGTGTTTGTATATGTCTTAACATTCTGGAAAGATCATATCAAGTTTATAGCGACATTTTACTTCTACATTTACTAATTAACAGTCAGGATTTACTGCAAATCCTGACTACTGCAAAAAGATTATTTTAGGGCCAAATCGATTAACCTATTATAACTATGTTATATCAGGTTTTGAAGTGAGAATATGGTAGTGCGCGGTGCAGTGCTAGGAAGGTACAGTCCTATAAGAAGACAGATCTTCTAACTAAATGTATAGTTAGCTATAATGATATATCAAATACGGAACGTTGTCCGAATCCAATATTGAAGTAAAATAAAGTATTATGACTTAAGTTCATGATTCTCTAGGTATGAAAATTAGAATTTAAAACTATTTCTTATATTTTCCAAACTAATAGCTGCACATAAAAGATAATTGTATTTCGTAATTCTTTACTTGAGTTTTTTTCTGTACTTAACATTTTAAATAAATACTCAAAGTTGTTTGAATAAATAAGTTAAAATTATCTAAACTACATTAGATACTCACAGCTTTCTATTTCTATATGGCAGAGCTGTCTGTCCATTGGGAAGTATTGCAGATTCATGGGACATGACGCCGTGATCGTCAACCTGTGGCAATACAGAGTTGCATGGATAAAAGTTTATTTGTCCGCACTTAAATGGTGCCATACATATTCCATTATAGTCATATTTGATTAGGGCCTTTCATGTTATCCGTGTTGGTATAAGAAATACATTGATGCATCTTATATTTCTAAAGTCTAAAATACTCTGATGTTTTCCCTATATCAATTTCTATGAAAAAATACAAAATAATGATTCTTATTATATCCAGCCAAAAACCTATTTGACTAATTGTTTAACATGCAGCTAAATGAACGGTTTATAAAACAAAATGTATGTTTACCCTTTATGCATTTTTGACGGTCATGAAGTCTCAAAAATTATCTATAAATGCCAGGCAGGTAATGATTTAGATTTGATTTTTATCGACCCTGATTCTCCGTAAGTGTTACTTTATTTGGTTTCAACGTTTGAAGTCTCACTATCGTTTCCTGTAAGCATACATGTTTCAAATTTCGGATATTTCCCCCTGAATGGCATCAGGTTTTGAAGATTAGTGCTGCGATCTATCTAGACATGGCGGTAACTACATAGTTCCGCGCCGTAAAATTTATGTTCACACTTTTTTCAGTTACAGTTGTCTGTCTAGGACTATCTAGGCTGTATGGTCAAAAAATAGTACTAGTATTATTTTTACTCTTACTCCTAGAGCCATTGATGCTGAAGAAGATATTTTGCATCAACAACTTCATCCACCACCTACTACGATCATCTACGTCTTCTTTGTTAGCTCTCATCAATCTCAAGTCTTTATTACTTCATCCTTCCACCTCTTATTTCGTCGTCCTGGGTGTCTCATGTCATCTTAGGGTTCCTCTCATATTTGTTTTACCATAGCTTTATCTTCCCTCTTTATTTCATGTCCAGTCCAACTGAGACACGTGTTTTTACCTCAGCAAACACATCTGTAGCTTGAAATATATCCTACCCCACTCTGTTTGATTCTCCATCCACTATTATTTTGCTGTATCCACTAATAAAAAAAATACTTAAAAAAACAAATATAAATAAAACACAAAATTAAGAAGACGAAATTGGTAGGTAACGAGACGAACAGTTTGCTTGGCTGGTGTAATGGTTAGTTAGCCGCGATTGCTAATCGCGGCCCAGTGAAGTGACTTAACACGGTTATAGAGTGATCACCCACCCGTCATTGATAATTATAGGCGAATATCACTTCTCCAGTCTGCGGCAAATTAGAACCGAAGGCTCTGGCGTCGTCGTGGTGATTACCAAGTGATTTCCAAATAGATTAACTGTTAGATGATGCGTTATAATGTCTAATCTCTATTTTTTGTATGGTAAGGCAGCATTGAAAACAGTACACAATATTTCTAGTGTGGTAAATAAAAAAAATAAAAAAACACATTTTGGAAACGAATTAGAAACTTAAGGGCATGCGTCTAGGTAGGTCATTTTCATTCCCATTGACTATGTTAAGGAGTTCTTCGTTTATTTTTAAAAACAATTCAGTTTGTTCAAATATTTTAAACGGCGATTAAGTACTTTTAAATGTTGAGCTGAATTTCTAGTAAATCATGTTGTGACACTATCATAGTGGATGATTATTTGGTATATTTATGCAATTATCGTTTAAAGTCCATAAACGTTTTGATCATTGTTCGTACAGACTGAAGAGGGCGCTACTAAGTGTTATGTTTTTATTTGCTGAATTTGTAAGTTCAAATCCCCCTAATCAATTGACTTTAGCCTAACTCGTAATAATTTTCTCCGTTCTTGAGAAATCGCTCCAATACAAGTCATTCTTGAGACTGTTAAAGTGGTAAGATAAGTCTAAAGCATGTACAATAGTATAAAATAAAATAATGATATATTGACCTTGTTGAACTTGTAAATTTAAGTAGACATTTCATTATATACACTAGTGTTGTCTTATGCTCTGTCAAATGCAATAGTGCGTATGTTGAAGCCCAATGTCCATTATTGAGTCATGGCCTCTCTGAGATAATTCTATTGCCTCTGTTGGAGATGGTCTCCCTGTCCTCAGCCCCTTCCGCTTCCTGTCTCGCTCTAGCTAACACACTCAGCTCAGCATCTTGTCTCACTTCCTCCCTCTTTTTTTTCAAAACGATGGTCTAGTTAAACTGTACAGTAAACTATACTCAGTTCACAAAATTCAGCTTTAAGGGGAAGAAATCTATCCCCTCCAGTTAATCCTACCTTTTAATACAACAGCTCAACAGCTGAGATTTGCAAAAAAGTCAATGAGCTGCAACATATATCTCAAGCAAAATTAGTGAGGGAAATTTTCCTTAAACCGCATAATTTTGCAGCTTTACCCTAATAATCTACCAGAAAGTCTTTTAAATCTGTTACAAAAAAGTAACACTCCACCTATTATATACTGTATATGCCACCTACTATTTCCAAATAATTTTGCTTATTTACTTGATTGAAATTTCTCGATTAAATAAATAGCCTTTAAGGAAACTACTAAGTTTTACAGATCATTCTATTTAGATTGTTCGATGCTAATATATCGTTGAAAGCCCGTTTGACAAAGACTTAAGTAAACTTTAAACAACGGGATAAGAAAAATCAAAAATTGCTTACGTGATCACAGGACACATACATACATACGATGATGCATAATAATAAGGAAACACGTTACATACTGTATGAAATGACCTTATATGCATTTGATTTTAGATGTATGGATTTTTTTTACTAAAATACCAATCAGGTGAACAAAATACGATAATGTGTCACGAAACAGTAATTTAAATCAAGAAAGAATTCGTAATCGTGTAAGAATATAAATTTACTAAACATTTTCCAAACAAGTTCAAAGTCCTAAGCCTAGTTGTATTTAAATATGCTTTAATATAACGTAGTACACTGTTTGGGGCTTAAAAGCTTACGCTGATTTTAATGTCTTGGCTCATCGAACAAGCTTAAAAATCTTCAATTTTGCTGCAAATGATAGTATATTTTTATTTAAGGATTAAATTCGCCCAATGATCTTTCTCTTGAATAGAAAATTAAAATTAGCTGCAGACACTAGCGGTATTTGAGTTGTGATACGCTCTTAGAGACCGAACCTTTCCTTCTGCCGCAGTCTAAACCATCCTCCTTTCACGAGAAATATGCTAATACGATAAAGGCAAACTAAATTTCCTTCGGTCGGTTCTGACACATTGGTACATAATGCATCTATCATTGGATCAAAGTAGGGGAAGCTGGTCTAAAGGATAATTCAATTGGCCCTGTTGGCTGACCGTATAAAGGTCATGTGGTCTCTCTCTATCCCTCTCACTCCTCCCCTATCTCCCACTTTAAAACAAAAGGATTTTTATATACATAATAGTTTATCAATCCCAAAATAAATGTATTCAACTGAAGAACATAAAATGATCCACTGAACAACTTAACATTGCTCTAACTTACATTTCTAACCAATAGAAAAGGTCACGGATCCTAAGAAAAGGTGATGGCTTTATGGTGATTCAAACAGAAAAGCTCGTAAAATGCCTATAGGAATACTAAGCAGGGAAATGGGTGGTAAGAACTAAAGAAGTGGTTAAGAAACGGTTATGGGGTTTCCATACCTAAAGGTGGGGGGGGGGGGGGTGGAATTTCAAAATGTCACATTTCTAAAATATTTCAGTTATTATGACCATAGACCAACGATCATGCTAAATGTGACGGATCTTGATCGTCTAAAAGTGACTTCGTCCATTACGCATGAAGTGGCCCTATTTGTGGTGGGGGGGGGGGGTGAATATGGTGCCTTTTAGCATAATTTCTTAGTATAAAACCTACTAATTTTTGGTTGTTGCAGAAACCCTGCTAAATGTAAAGTCCTATGCAATATAAAAGTAGTTTTAGAGCTGGTATAGGGGAGTTACTACATTTTTGAGGGGGTTATAATGGTAAAATACTGCATTACTTTCCCCGACAACTTTGGGTATTTATTTTATTGGTCCATAAGCAACAATCCTGCTAAATTTCAAGCATCAGCACTCAAAGGTATTTAGTCCATTACACGTGTAATGCATATGAGGAATCCAACAATCAAAGAAAACCAAATAAAATATAAAACTCTTTTAAAAACTGTTCTTGTTATATATACACATTTGTATTGTGTCTACTCTATGCCATGAATAGCCCACTACTTGTCCTAGCATAGAGAACAGGAATAACGCCTCTTTCAAGTTAGCCTCCAACGACTGAGCATCTTATTTTCAAACTCCCATTTCCCAATGAATAATTATAACTAGTGGTCGTCCTGTGGTCGAAACTCGACCAAAAATAATTAATGTACAGACTTCTCTATTTTCTCCCCACACTGTAAATAAAACATGTGATTGGGATTTCTTCCATTTGTTTTGATTTTCTGTTTACATTTTGTTGTTATTTCGTCACCATCATGGCAACCCAGTTGGTCCATGTTAATTTTTTGAAGTTTTCAAATTAGTTTTTTGTGCTTATTTTTTAGCCTATTTTAATTTATAAAGAGATTCTGCACATCTACAGGCAAATATCTTTCCAACAGTATGCGTAGATTTCCCCTGCGATGCACACGAGCTGAGAAAAAAGGTTTTAAAGAAACATGCTTGCCTATTAATATATAGATAGATGGTTATGGCAAGATACATAACAGTTCTGGTGAAAACGAATGTTTTGAACTAATGATTTTGAATACTGTAATCAGTATTCAAAATCAAATCTTGAAAGTCATATAACCAATTCTCCAAGACGACCAAGTCGCTGAACTGGTGAAAATACTGATCGATGTTTCAAGTGCGTTACAGTTATCCATCTTCAAGGCAATCTAAAACAACTGAGTTGGAATTGAGTGCGGAATCGACTAAAGGCATCCGATAATTCGACCAGTCCTTTAGAAAGTTCACCTCTCCAGAGGGCGAAGACCTAGCAATCTACATTAACCGAAGAAGCCTACTTGCTGTTAAGTCATTCACACTAGTGAGCTGGTGTAGTAAAGCGCAGGAATTCAGTCCATGAGGTTCAAATACCACCAAACCTCTAATTTATTTTATCCCAAGTGGTAATGCTGCAACCCCCATATCTAGCATGAAGTGAAAAACGATTCCGATAGAGCCTAGCGTCAAGTCTTTCTCACTGCAAGGAATTCAAACTCACCGTATGCTTCTGGTGATGCTGCCCGAATGGTGAACTCTGATGAACTCATTGCTCGTGGTCGCCACGTGGAAGTAGGACTGCTTCTCGTTGACGAAGAACGTGTCCGGCACCCAGATGTTCTTGATGAACTCCGACCCTACGGACAACGTCTCCACCCCCGGCCTCTTCCGGAAGGCCAGTCGAGGATCCGTCCAGAACTGTCGGAAGTAGAAGTCCAACGTGAAGTCCTGAAGAAGGAAAACAATTAGAGGGGTAAAGTGTAAAGAGCTACTTAAGCATTAGTTAAGTATAAATAATTATAGGAAATGTAATTAAGTAGTATGATTAGTTTGTAAATATACAAGAGAAGGCATTATTATTTTGACAGTCACAGAAACATTTAAATTCAAATTTTTTTTTATTTTCATGTTGTATAGTTGTTATTGATTATTTTGTTGTATTTGTTGTCCTTGTTGTTTATCTTTTGTAGAATTTCTGTTTTAAGCTTGAGCAGAATTATAACCTACTGAAAAAGTGTTCTTTCTCATACCTGGACGAATTCAAAATAAGGTCTTGTGATGAGTATTTTACATATTTAAGAATGGACAAGAATTTAATATAAGAATAAATGTATTTATTTTATGAATGAAAATCTTGTGTACTTTTCGTTGTCATTTTGTTTAGTTTAAATTTATTCTCATATCAATGCTATGGTAATTTAGTGAAATGTACTGAATTAAGGATATTCCAAAACTTTCTCCTGATAATGTGTAAATCAATTGAAAAGAAAACTTAACTCATTTTTGTAGTTAGTTAATATTGTAGCATTGGTTTAATTATTATCAACTCTAATTTTTTAAGGTATTTTGATATTATTCAACGAATTTTACACCAATAGTCTAGTATTCAAAATTTGGAAACTTATTAAAAATACGTTTACCTTTATAATGTCAAATGCACATGCTCTAACATAAGCTTTAAACATATGTTTAGCTTGGATTAAATGTGCTAAAAATAAATGTGCTTGGCCTTCCTTTCACAAAACTAAACTTCTCTTACCTATACTCCAAAAGCTGCATAGGTTTTCCTATGTGTACTTCATCGTACAGAAATAAAAAATACTATAAGCTTACTTGAAAATAAGTACTTCTATACTATAAACTCATTTTATTTTAATTGATTGTTACCATGTTTTCAAGACCTACTAAAGCTGCGTATTTCTTTTATTTTAAATATTTAATTCACTAATTTCCATCAGTAATTATTTGTCGAGTCGACAAAACAGTTTATATATATATGCAAATTTGCTGATAAACAATTTCTTGATTACAAATTCCTATTAAATAGTTTTAACTATAGTTAAATAAGAGCTTAACAGCTTCTGAGCTTAGTTTCGATTGCAAAAATTCTCCTCAAGGTTGCATTGATTGTACGTAAACAATTCAATAACACAATAAATCGGTACGTAAAATATAAGTACATTTTTACTGCCAATCAGTTTTTTTGTTTGTTAGCATTCTCTGCTAAACGTTGAGTTAGCATGTCTACATGGGTCACGGTTGAGCCGGTTCACTACAAAAATGGACTTTATTGATAAATTATTTGGGGTGACACAAGGAAGCGTAACAGCGCCATCACTTTTTTGATTCCTTAGTCCGGCAAGCCTTCGACTAAATCATAAAACAACTCAGCAAGAAACTCAAAAATATCATTGACTTTCGGATACTATGATAGACATCCCATCTACAGTATGTAACTCATGTGGCCACGTTTCTATTAGAATAAAACATAGTTAAATAAGCTGTGAACAGCATGTGCTACTCTTATATATCTTTTTTACACATTAAGTAAATCATAATTTAAGATTGACTTGGCCAACCAGTTCTTGAATACAACAGAAATACACTAATGTACATCACCACAATCTATCGGTGGTTAGATTCAAGTTTCTCATTCTCAGCTAATAAATTTCTATGGGAATTTTATGTCCAATACTTCTATGTACACAAACCTAACCAACTAACTAGTAACAAATACAAATTGTGGATTGAATACACCAAACCAAACGTTTAACTTCTCTCCCCTTCGGGATTATTTAAACACAAGTGTTGTATATTCTTGGGAAAAGGTTGTATTCGAATAAAAGAAGGTAAATAAAGGGTGAAATATATTTTAGAGTTTAAAATGAAAATTAAGAACCCTCGGTGAGTTTGGCTCAACTCCAGGAACGCAGTGCGGCCCTCATCAGTGGGCAGGAGCAGCCTTCCCCGACCGATACCTTTACCCCTGAGAATCAAAGTACTGTAATACATCCTCAACGTTCTTATTGTTGTGTTAACCCTTTGATTATTGTTTACATTGGTACTATACCAACCACACCACACCGACTTCCAAATAAGATTTTAATTAGATTCACAAAATCTTCCTAAACTAACCTAAAACATAGCCCCCTTAGGTTAGGTTAGGTTAGGTTTTGACATGTGTGGTATAATACCAAAGTACCTATTAATGAAGTAGTCATCTCATCTCTAAGTTGAATTTGGAGTAAGTTCTAGAATAACTTTGACGTAGTTAAAGTAAGCTGTTGTTAATTTTTGGATTTCTGTCAAATACGCCAAGTTTTGGGACCGAAAAGTGTAAATCATCCTCAGTATTGTTCTTATTGTTGTATATTGATTCTGATACCATTTATAGAAGTAAATACCCTATTACCATGAGCTGAAGCCAATCATACAATTGGACTTGAAGTGAGAAACTGAACATGTGAGGTGATGTAAATTACTAATAATTTCTGTTGAATACTCGAACTTTTAAACAAACACAATCACGAAAGATCCTCAGTGTTTTTCTCGTTGTTGCGTTTTAAACCTTCAACTTGACTTGTAGACATTCCATTCGTATTTTAATTGTGTAGGCCTACCGTTTAAAAAATAAAAATAAACATAATCCAATGGGTCCCTGACATATTACGCTAGTTACTGACATAGTTACTGATTTCTGTAGTTTACCCAAACGTTTGATACTGCCAGACAATAAGATAAGCTATTGTATATACCATAGTATATATCACATAAACCACCATTGTAATAGAGTAAAGGGAAATAAAAAACACTAAACTACTTAACCATGAATTGTGCGATACAGCTTGGCTGTATGATTCTTTAGAAACTGTCAAACGGCTTTCCGGATTAAGCAAAGTCCGCATTGATGAGTATATGCTGTAACACCTACAGGATCTAAAAATAGGATTTTTTACTTTGCAAAAAATAAAAGTGTATAAATATTTTTGACAAGATTCAGAGAGGGAGATGATATTGAAGAATCACACCAATCCCTCATGTTAAATAATCACTCACACTCGGAGACGCCTAACTGATGCTCCAGAGACCCAGAGGGGGTTAGGGTGGAAGGGAGGAAGGGGTGGAGGGGGGTGCTCTGTGACGACATTTCAAGTAAAGGCGCTAAGGGTGGACTAACGATGGACGTCTGAAGAGTCTCCGGTGGCTGCTTACTAATTATTATCTTGAGCCAGTCGCCTAAAATGGCTGATTTTTCACCTCACTTTATACTGGAATTTATAGAGGAAAACTGTGTGGGAAAATAAATGTGAGGTTTAGACTATTTTCGAACATTTACGTAAACTAAAACCCCTGAATTGTTTTGTAACGTCGAAATTTCTTACTTTTTTGGTTGTTAGTGTAAAATATGCGTTGCAACCTGTAATACTTTTTTAGTGGTTGCTTATTAATCTTTAGTCTGTCTGAAGCTGCTGATTTTCTTCACCTGACTTTATTCTGTAATTTGGAAAGGTTTTACAAGAATTTTGAAGGTGTAAAAGTGTAAACAAAGATAATAATGTGAGGGTTGTATCTCAATTAATGTTTTATTTTCAAATATTTATCATAATTTAATTCCCTGTGAGATTTGTTAGGTGAAATTTTTTTCATCTTTGTTTGGTTGTAAGTATAAATCATGTATATTGACTCAGTTACCTGAAATAGCTAATTTTCTCCTCACTTGATCCTGGTTTGATTCGGTTTATTATATTTCGAGTAAGGAATATAATGTGTTGGCTGTGTCGCAATAAACATCTTACTTTCATTGCATGTTTCAACCCACAATTTCTTAATGTCACTTTAATTCTTTTCTCCCTAATTTCTTTATCAGCATAGAGTAAGTGTTTTTGGAGACACATTGTTATTTTTCGACGTAAGTTTACTTTTTCTTTTTACCAGTACTTATTCACTCCACTTAATCCGTGAAAACTATTGGACATTTTGAGTGATAATAAAATTGACATACTTCACGTTAATTATAGTTCCACTTGATAAAGAAATAGATTATACTTAGTTTCGACTGAAACTGTTAGATGTACAAACAATGCAACTTTGAGGAGATTTCCAGTATCAAATTAGTATATTTTTGTTTATAAACAGTTTATTTTTATTATCACCATCAGATATGCAGTGTTAACTAATTCAATGTTGTACAACCGTATGTTTTGAGCTGAAAGTTACTGTATACCTATCATAGATGTATTCAAATTTGTAATAAAATGTAAAGATAGGCATTAACTGATATTTAAAATTCATAAAACTAATTCAAAGCGCTTATGTTAAGCTCTACCGATTCTACAAGATGCTAGAATTTCACTGTTGAATTTAACGTATCCAACTAAATTCATGCCTATTCCCCTACATTTTCACCTTAGCAAAACATTATCTATTGAAAGAACAATCCTAAATAGCAGTTGAAATGCCCTAAAGCAATTCAAACCCCTAAAAAATATTTACCTTACCTACCTATCACTCTTAAATACTAAAGCAATCTTATAAGCAACTATTTTAATAACTATAATAGTGTTAAAACTAGTTACATCTAAATAGAACTACAACTACACTACAAAGCTGTCGTCTACGTCACAGATCATGCCATGCCCATGCTCATGCCTGCCATGCCGCATGCTGAACCACCAGCGGCCTCCTAGTGGCAATCTACTCATTCGATCAACAAAACCTCACGTGAACGAATGGTGTACACAATTTGTTACACAGTGTTAAATTTCCAAAATGAGGTTTTGTTCAAATCAGGTTAACAGTTGACTACGTCAGAATTAGTCAATACACAACAATAGAGGTTGGTAGCTGAAGTGGCGCAGTGTCGTCTGCTGGAATCACGATCATGGTGATGTTGTTAGCGACCTGTGATGTTGTCCACATTCAGTTCCACTGTCACTGAACGTGGAACATACAGTACTAGTCATGAACTAAACTTTAGAATGAGTGCTTCACCATGAGGCTTAGTGGGTTCCATGACTTATGGAACTGAATGTACAGACATACACCCAACAATGACAACAAAACTACAAATATACAATATTAATATCAGTACACACGTAGAAATGGAAATACGTCTTTCGAGAAAATCTGAAGAGTTTTGTTCTGTCACACTGAGATTTTCCAAAGAGGTATTTTCACAAAAATTATTCGACCATGCAGATGTGGAACGCCGTACGGTTCCCTTACAACAACATGTGAAATGGGCTGCAAAATTCCAAAACAAAATTAGTCAAGGGAAGGATCTAACCTCTAAAGGAACTCGTATAGTTGATATTCACTTCGACATCAATGCCTTGTGGATTAAGCTTCATTAGTGTTAAAATTTATGTTTAATATTTACTGCAATAGTTATAAAGTATTATCGATTTATACTTTTTTCAATGCTATAAAACTTCAATATTTCATGTTTTATGTGTCAAATATAAAGTTTTTAGGTTTAAAGTTCCAATTGTCAACAACTATACTCCCATGCATTTCCCTGAAAATGCCTCTCATTCCACCCCAGAGGAAGGAAGGAATGGAAGGAAAGCAGCGAACAAACAACAAAATCGTGAGACGAAGCTCGGACAAGGAGGTGGGGCACACCACGGACAACGACCAACAAATAAACAACACTTGAAAGTCAAAGTTCTAGTGACGCCAGTGTTGTGAGTTAGTACCATCAGCACTTCGGAGACCGAACTGATGCTGAGGACATACATGGTGACTCCGACTTCCACTGGGGGCCCTGAAACATGGGAGGGCGTCAGCGACTGCTTCGGACCCTCCGGACAACCTCCTCGAGAGGTTGGCCGGAGGTCGACCCAGATCTGCGGGAAGGTGAAGCGAGGAGTAAGCGAGGAGCACTACATGTTAGTCGTATGTACACATGTTTACATTGTATACCAATTTACACAGCTTTAGTTTAAGAAATGTTAAAACTCCAAGTGTTCAGATTTGCTACAAAGGTTTGTCAGGTTTAGGAATTACACCAGTTAGATTATAATACGTTAAATACAATTTAAAGATAGTTTGATGCATGTTATTTGGCATTTTACTGTTTATTTTTGGAATGATTACATGCTTGGTTTTTTACTTAGTTATACTGTGAGAAAATAACAATTTTTGCTGTTTTTGGTAAAATAAATAGTTTTTTATAAGTAGGCTAAGATGAACATGAACATTTTTCTTTTCAAATAGGTTTAGCTTTTATAGTTGAGAGTTTTGTAATTACAGCCCTATAAAAATTAGGATATTAGTTATTAAATGTTTTTTTTTAAATAAATTTATATCTTTTTATATAGCTTACATTACAGATTATGATAGTTTGTACTCTAGTTACTAACATAACTTATTTAATATATATCACGCATTATAAAGCTTAGAACCTAAAATAATCTGTAAAACACTTAATAAATACAAAAAATCAATATCTGTGTAGCTCCATCCTGTAAATACATCATCATTAGCATATAAACAATAAGTTCTAAGCAAAGTCGTCACTAATGGCGGCTAACACACCGATACGAATTGTACAAAATGCTCATTCAAAAAAAGGAAAATAAATAAATAAATTGCCTACAGACAACACTATGAAGTCGCCGAGCAGCGAAACCATGCTTCGTGGTCCCAACTACCTTAACCTCCATTCTACTAGAAACAAACTGTAATTTTGTTTTTAGACGGCAAATGAAGAGGGGTTTGCTGTCGAGTTGGGGTCCATTTCTGAACGCAACCTTAATACAAGTTGAATATCGGATTAGATGTTAAGCTTACGTTCAACGTCTATGAACTCCATTGTACAGGTGTGAAGCTAGAGGCATGCGGGGGTGAGGTTCGGCCAACTGGATTCCTCTCAACACCTACAGCTTGTCTTTACATTGGCTCATCGCTTCGACACAATCGATCTGCTAAGTTAACATCAATCGAGGGTATCACTTTCTACCCTTAAGCCGGGAAAGACTGCCAGTGAGATGTGCTTGTGGCTTAGGGGTGAAGTGCTCGTGCTGCTATTGCAGTTTCGTCTACCTAAATTACTGATGGAATTTAGGTGTGTTACGTGATAATTTAACATACTTGCTGGATTACGTGGCGTTAAAACATCAAAGTGTGTTCAAAGTGTATTTCGATAGATCTCGGCCAAAACCCACGTGAAAGGAATCCAATCGGTGGGACTTAAAGTAGAAAACAGAACATAACAGTAAATGTTGTAGAGAAGATAGATAGAGAGAATGTAGGTACCATTTTGACTTCTGAGAGGGACGAGATGCTCAGTACGTACATGGTGACCCCCACTTCGACCGGCGGACCTGCAAGAGATCGGTCCTTCAGCAATGGACCCCAAACAACATACATGCCAAATCATCGGGCCAGAGATAGAGAGTACATTTATCGAGAACACAAACTCGTAAACAAATAAAACAGCTAGAGGATACGATTACAGTAGTAGTTCTGAACAAGAGATGCGAATAAAAACAGTAAGTTGATGGAAGTACCATTTGGACTTCTGACAGGGAGCTGATCGATAGCACGTACATAGTGATACCGACCTCAACTGGGGTACCTGTAACATAAACTCTGCATCTGGGTCTGGCTGAGATAGCTACTCAGTATCAGCAATCAGCAATCAGCAATCAGCACATCACTCAACCAATCGCAACGAGACTCATCCGGGATCACAATCATCATGAGAATAACACTATTCATCGTTAATTTAATCCATCACCCACTTCACACACTTGAACCACAACCAACCACTTGAGAATACCAAAACATCACTTTTTAAGTGTAATACATTTTCCTGTTAGTCTACACACATTTAGCAAATACTACAAAAGTCGTCTCATACCAATATCCATTTTGCTAAAACACACGATGTAACGACAACTTCACATACCCTTAAGAGAAACACGTAAACGCATTTACCAACGTGTTGATAGAGATCCACATTAAAAGGATAACAAAGTTCACAAACACTTGTCAATCACAACGAGAAAATACATCCAACCACCTTACATTCGAGATTTTGATAGAAGTCCATGATAAACAGATTACCCTCTTCACACACTGTAAACAGTCACTTTGAAAATCATATCCAAACATCTCGCATTCAACATTATCGCTGCCCCACTTCACACCATAACCAATCCCTATGAGAATCATATCCAAACATGCTATCCAACCTTTTACTAACGCTATTTTTACACAATAACTAATCACTTCGAGAATCACATCCAACACATCGCATCACCATTTTTGTTCAAAATCCAAGTTAAAGCGATGACAAGGCTAGGATTATACTAGGACGCTGGTCCTAGTATTATACGTCCTACAGTAGTATAATCCTAGCCTTATTTGCACATTATGATCAGTCCCTGTGAGAATCGTGTGAAAGCACTCATCATCCAATGAATTAGCCAGATGGACATCCCTACACAAACCATTGTTTTATCTGGAAGATATGCTAACCTTAGTAGGTCTGGAAGAATTGGTTACGAATTGTCACGACTTGATAGCTCAAACAACCTTCAACCTTCCAGAACATTTTGCTGGTTGATAAACACAATCGGTGTCCTTGTACGTGTAAAAGAAGAAACTATAAGATTAGTAACCCTTATGTTGCAGATTTATAAGAAACAAAATTGGCCTAATTAAAATTTTATAGTAAATAAATATGGTTAAAGCAGTACCACTAGTGAGTTCTTTGAATCCAATCACCACCAAAGTAACTCTTTGTTTGAAAGGACACGAGCTCCAAAGATACCCACTGAATCTGTCTGAAGAAGCAGTATTGCACGCTGGACAATGTAGTTTAATCCAAATACGTTCTTTTAAATAAAGTCGTAACTTCAAAAAATAAACAGAATGTGAATAAATAGTAGTCGTCAACAATAGTTATCTTGGACTACTTAAACATTTGAACCTCTACAAACTGTTCATCGTGTAGAGAAGACAATTACACCGACTAATCTCATGAAACCTAATCCCAATGATAGAGAAAGGACAGAAAAACTACTGTTATTATCTCAAAGTGAATTGGGGTTAAGAATCTCTAGAGCTTTAGCACATTAGTTTTACATCAGTCATTACTCAATCATTTAATACTGAAATGAGAGTATATCTAGTTTTAAAGAGTGGTAAAATAAACAAATGTCCGTAAAAAAAGATTTCCAAAGTTGTGGAAACAATAATCCTAGGGAACAAAAATCTCCAAACATTTCAAAAATCTTCAAATTCATTCACCACACACCGTCTACTAGACACAAATCAGACAAATCTTAGACAAATCAGATCCAATAAACTGCGAAGCATTTAATTTTATCTCCAGAACATGGCAAAATCTCCCATACATGCCATTATAAATCAGATTTACTTTAATCAACCTCAGAAATCTTTTATTTACCCTGCAACCTACCAGAAGTATATACATGATCATTAACACAAATTTTCATAGAACCTCCACACTGTCACATTTGTTTCATTTAAATTTATCTTTGTAGTGTAAAGTGTGTGATAATGGTAGTTTGAAAATTGAGATGCTAGTAGCATATGTAATGTGTTTGTCATAAGGTATTTAAAGCTTCCAATGCGATTTTTACATATATGGTAATTTCAAGACATACCTCAAGGTGAGAATTATGCTAAACTAAATCGTTGAACTTAGTTTGTTCTAAACAATGTAAAACATTTTGTTTACTGTAGTTTGTTACATTACTTCGCATGGTGAAAAAACATGGGATTCCTACAGCTAACCGAATTCTATCTGTATGAAAGAAACCCGAGTAGAATTATTGAAAGTAATTGGGAATCGGTATAGGTCGATATGTTATTTTATATAAAAGGTTAGTCAGGCGAGTCGTCGCCATCCGACCAGGGTACTTTTCAATTTGGTACAAAAATAGAGAGCATTTTGAATAGTGCTTTGGCAAGAACAAAGGTTGGGATGGTGAATGGTTAGCGGAGCTTGCGCGCTGGCCGATCGATCGCCCCACCCTAACATACCGGGCATACACGAGGCGGGCTGGGGACAAAATGTGGGCAACGAGACCAAATATCAGCTGATACTAAGAGACGGAGTGAACTGGGAACAAAACGTGAACAACGAGACCAAATATCAGCTGATACTTATACATGGAGTGAACTGGGGACCAAATGTGGGCAACGAGACCAAATATCAGCTGAATCTTATACATGGGGGTGAACTGGGGACAAAATGTGGGCAACGAGACCGAATATCAGCTGATACTAATACACGGAGTGAACTGGGGACAAAATGTAGGGGATGAGACCAAATGTCAGCTGATACTTATACAAGGAGTGAAATGGGGCCAAAATGAGGGCAACGAGACCGAATATCAGCTGATACTAAGAGACGGAGTGAATTGGGAACAAAATGTGGACGACGAGAACAAATATCAGCTGATACACGGAGTGAAGTGGGAACTAAATGTGGGCAACGAGACCAAATATCAGCTGATAGTAAAACACGGAGTGAACTGGGGACTAAATGTGGACAACGAGAACAAAATCAGCTGATACTAATACATGGGGTGAACTGGGGCCAAAATGAGGGCAACGAGACCGAATATCAGCTGATACTAAGAGACAGAGTGAACTGGGAACAAAATGTGGACGACGAGACCAAATATCAGTTGACACTTATACATGAGGTGAACTGGGGACAAAATGTGGGGAACGAGAACAAATATCAGCTGATACTTATACACGGAGTGAACTGGGGACAAAATGTGGGCAACGAGACCAAATATCAGCTGAAACTTGTGTATCTGGTCCTGAAACTTGTGTATCTGCTTTAAGTCTATCAAAATAGATTCCGAACCCCCCGAATGGTCATAGTGTAAACAACAAGTTATACTGGTAATAGCTTAAATTTTGAATAGGTAAGAGAACCGCTTCCCGAAGAAAGACAAAATGTGTAATAAATATAGTAATACTAAATAAAACTTGAATACTTCTTTAGGTAAAAGCTATTCTAAATTAAGTTCAATACTAGTTCAAGTATTATGTATTCTCTTGGGCCATATATTCTTGTCATGTTAAACACTTAAGATATTGTACACAGTTTTTGGACTGAAGAATACAAAGGACTGAACAATGAGTGTAATAAATGGAAGCCCAACCGAGAGGAACTAGAATGACAATGTGGTAACACGTTTACCAAGACAAGGGAAACGTCTGAATCGGGAAGTAAACCCACATAGGCCTGAATACTAAATCAGACTGAATCAGTAAGTCTTTGGTACACAAAGAGTGTTCTGGATCGAAAAATTTCAACTTTGAACACGATATTAAATACATCGTTCGTGGTGATAAATTTGTTGACTTTTGTTTCGGTGTTTTATTTGAAATAGCTTTGTCTGACAAGAAACAATCAATTAAAATTGTTCGTTCCAAGTAGGCCTATAGCATATGTGATAGTTAAAAGGGTTTTTTTTTCGACACGAGCTTAAGTTTTACAACCGTTGCAAAACCGAGGTTGGAAAATGAGTGAGTGTCGCAAAGTCACTTTCGGCCTATGTGATGAAGTAAAAGCTGTTGAAAGCTAAACGTATTACTCCGTCAACGAATTAATAAATTCAAATACGTAAAATCTGTCTAGATGTCAATAAAGGGTATATGTCAGTGTTTTATAGTGAAACGGTAATAAACACTAAAAATGTTTGATGCAGATGCAACATCGAAAAAATCTGTGAACGAATCTTAAGGGAGAATAATTTGTTTACCGTTCTTTTGTAATATTTGTCCAGTAACATATTCTGTAACATTTATTCTGTATACTGTACATTTAATCCCTCAGAATGATTTGTTTACTACGACTGTGGCTAAAAATATTCTACAGAAGGATCAGCTGTTATTAAATTACAATTAACATGTAAACATGTTATAAAGAAATTCAGCCTCTATTTTTAAATAAATTCTAGAAAAATCTAATACTGGGAGTACTTTAAGTGAATTAAATAGTTTGAGCTTAAATAATAGTGCAGCAACTAAAAGTTTTGTTCGTCACATTGACCAAAATTTCTTACTGTCCCTCGCAAATTTCCAATGCTTGAACTTGTATCGAAAAGGGACACTTTAGGACCAAGTAAGTTGGAAACAATTTTGGCAGCTATCATACTCCTAGTTAAAACTGATAATAGACTCACAAACTGAGGACCTATGTAAGCACTGTATATGTATGTTCAAAGTGTTATTCAACTGTGGTATTGGTTTCCCTTTGAGCAAAAATCTAGTCACGGATTGCTTAGCATTCTTCAAACGTTGTCCAACTTACGGAATCAAGCTACTGGTTACCAAGTAGGCAATGCTTTCTGGATATATGTTAAGTTTTCAATATTTCAACTTGTTCATTTGTTCATTCATATTTTGTCAAAATTTTCAATCGTTAATAAAATGCTTTCATCAATTTTTTCAAAATAATGTTGATTATTTTAGGAAAAGTCTATAGAATACAGGGGTATTCAATTAGTAAATTATGCATACAATTAAGATAAAAAATGTTCCTATTTTATATACCAGAAAGGATAGTAAACAAAAATCTTC